CTTACTATAAAACACTCCCGTCACAGCGTGTACTCTGGATACAGACAAAACAGATTGTCGTTACGAGGACGGCAAGGTGATTTTAGAGTACTTTGTTAACTTGACACCTGGTGTTTGGACTCCCGCTGAGAGAGAGCTTCTCATAGTATTGAAAGATACAGTTCAGTTCTGGAGCTGTTCAAACCTATTGTCCACTGGTACGGGAATACAGCAGATGAGTGTTGCAAACACTGTTGAGCAGGTGCTTTTTTGTTTATTTGTTAATCTGTTTATATGCTTTATTTAGTATTTATTACATTCCATTTATTTTTAAAGTTTTCACAGGTAAGAAAAAGAGGCTTGTAAATAAACCGCTTTTTCTATATATAAGCCGCTTTTTCTATACATAAGCTGCTTTTTCGCTTATATATAAGCTGCTTTTAAAAATATAAGCCGATTTTTCGTCAAAGAAACTTGTACTCGTTGTAGAATGTAGATATATACCTGTCACAACTTTAACAGTAGGTGTATATTTCAGCCAGCGCCTTGCACTGCCGAAGCAACTGGTGAATATTCGATTGCAATAATGAAAGAAAAACTGAACTCACCGAACGATGATGTTTGTGGTTTTAGACATCAAGTTACGTGTTTGGGTGACGGAAGTAAGTGTTTTCTGTAGTTTTACGAGTTTATAAAATTATCGCGGTGACTGTTGACGATGATAATAAAACTGGTACATTCGCGTGTTTATGACGCATATATTTTCAATACTTATTATCTAAAAATGCACCATAAACTTGATAAAGTGCCAAGCGCAAGCGAAGGCACTAACGTGACTTTAAAGTTTAAGTGACCATCTATGAACCATCATTGTACCGCTTACTATAAAACACTCCCGTCACAGCGTGTACTCTGGATACAGACAAAACAGATTGTCGTTACGAGGACGGCAAGGTGATTTTAGAGTACTTTGTTAACTTGACACCTGGTGTTTGGACTCCCGCTGAGAGAGAGCTTCTCATAGTATTGAAAGATACAGTTCAGTTCTGGAGCTGTTCAAACCTATTGTCCACTGGTACGGGAATGCAGCAGATGGTTACTGCAAACACTGTTGAGCAGGTGCTTTTTTGTTTATTTGTTAATCTGTTTATATGATTTATTTAGTATTTATTACATTCTATTTATTTGTAAAGTTTTCACAGGTAAGAAAAAGAGGCTTGTAAATAAACCGCTTTTTCTATATATAAGCCGCTTTTTAAGATATAAGCCGCTTTTTCGTCAAAGAAACTTGTACTCGTTGTAGAATGTAGATATATACCTGTCACAACTTTAACAGTAGGTATATATTTCAGCCAGCGCCTTGCACTGCCGAAGCAACTGGTGAATATTCGATTGCAATAATGAAAGAAAAACTGAACTCACCGAACGATGATGTTTGTGGTTTTAGACATCAAGTTACGTGTTTGGGTGACGGAAGTAAGTGTTTTCTGTAGTTTTACGAGTTTATAAAATTATCGCGGTGACTGTTGACGATGATAATAAAACTGGTACATTCGCGTGTTTATGACGCATATATTTTCAATACTTATTATCTAAAATGCACCATAAACTTGATAAAGTGCCAAGCGCAAGCGAAGGCACTAACGTGACTTTAAAGTTTAAGTGACCATCTATGAACCATCATTGTACCGCTTACTATAAAACACTCCCGTCACAGCGTGTACTCTGGATACAGACAAAACAGTTTGTCGTTACGAGGACGGCAAGGTGATTTTAGAGTACTTTGTTAACTTGACACCTGGTGTTTGGACTCCCGCTGAGAGACACCTTCTCATAGTATTGAAAGATACAATTCAGTTCTGGAGCTGTTCAAACCTATTGTCCACTGGCACGGGAATGCAGCAGATAGTTGTTGCAAACACTGTTGAGCAGGTGCTTTTTTGTTTATTTGTTAATCTGTTTATATGATTTATTTAGTATTTATTACATTCCATTTATTTGTAAAGTTTTCACAGGTAAGAAAAAGAGGCTTGTAAATAAACCGCTTTTTCTATATATAAGCCGCTTTTTCTATACATAAGCTGCTTTTTCGCTTATATATAAGCTGCTTTTAAAAATATAAGCCGCTTTTTCGTCAAAGAAACTTGTACTCGTTGTAGAATGTAGATATATACCTGTCACAACTTTAACAGTAGGTGTATATTTCAGCCAGCGCCTTGCACTGCCGAAGCAACTGGTGAATATTCGATTGCAATAATGAAAGAAAAACTGAACTCACCGAACGATGATGTTTGTGGTTTTAGACATCAAGTTACGTGTTTGGGTGACGGAAGTAAGTGTTTTCTGTAGTTTTACGAGTTTATAAAATTATCGCGGTGACTGTTGACGATGATAATAAAACTGGTACATTCGCGTGTTTATGACGCATATATTTTCAATACTTATTATCTAAAATGCACCATAAACTTGATAAAGTGCCAAGCGCAAGCGAAGGCACTAACGTGACTTTAAAGTTTAGGTGACCATCTATGAACCATCATTGTACCGCTTACTACAAAACACTCCCGTCACAGCGTGTACTCTGGATACAGACAAAACAGATTGTCGTTACGAGGACGGCAAGGTGATTTTAGAGTACTTTGTTAACTTGACACCTGGTGTTTGGACTCCCGCTGAGAGAGAGCTTCTCATAGTATTGAAAGATAGAATTCAGTTCTGGAGCTGTTCAAACCTATTGTCCACTGGTACGGGATTGCAGCAGATGGTTGTTGCAAACACTGTTGAGCAGGTGCTTTTTTGTTTATTTGTTAATCTGTTTATATGATTTATTTAGTATTTATTACATTCTATTTATTTGTAAAGTTTTCACAGGTAAGAAAAAGAGGCTTGTAAATAAACCGCTTTTTCTATATATAAGCCGCTTTTTAAGATATAAGCCGCTTTTTCGTCAAAGAAACTTGTACTCGTTGTAGAATGTAGATATATACCTGTCACAACTTTAACAGTAGGTATATATTTCAGCCAGCGCCTTGCACTGCCGAAGCAACTGGTGAATATTCGATTGCAATAATGAAAGAAAAACTGAACTCACCGAACGATGATGTTTGTGGTTTTAGACATCAAGTTACGTGTTTGGGTGACGGAAGTAAGTGTTTTCTGTAGTTTTACGAGTTTATAAAATTATCGCGGTGACTGTTGACGATGATAATAAAACTGGTACATTCGCGTGTTTATGACGCATATATTTTCAATACTTATTATCTAAAATGCACCATAAACTTGATAAAGTGCCAAGCGCAAGCGAAGGCACTAACGTGACTTTAAAGTTTAGGTGACCATCTATGAACCATCATTGTACCGCTTACTACAAAACACTCCCGTCACAGCGTGTACTCTGGATACAGACAAAACAGATTGTCGTTACGAGGACGGCAAGGTGATTTTAGAGTACTTTGTTAACTTGACACCTGGTGTTTGGACTCCCGCTGAGAGACACCTTCTCATAGTATTGAAAGATAGAATTCAGTTCTGGAGCTGTTCAAACGATTATAATAAAAGATAGTTATTAAAAAAGTTATTATTTATATTAAAATAGTTATTATATTTATATATAAATATGAGTTTATTTTAATGGTGTGGACTGTTTATATATGTTTCTTATTATAATGGTGTGGACTGTTTATTTGAGTTTCTTTTAATGGTGTGGACTGTTTATACGAGTTTCCTTAAAAAAGATTACATGATGCTTTTTCGTTGTTCCCTGGTGCATAGTTGACATTTTTGTTTTTATGAAACTTTATAAAGCTCCAAAGATTGAAATAATCGGTTCGTCCTCTAGGCAAAATTTGTCAAAAAATGTTCAAATGTTGATAGGATAGTATGACTATTAATGTATGACTATTATCTACATATTAAACAACTTTTTGTTAAATGGTACCCTTAGATCATAAAGAAACTGGTCAACTCTCTCTTAAATCAACCACTTGCCATGATTAAAGGAATTTTCGAATCAACACTCAACAGTCCTTACTTTTTATAGTAAGGGGAAAATTGGTCGATTTAAGGGTTCCGTTGGATTTGAATGTTCACAAGGATTTCTCAACGGAATATAGTAGTTAGGACCCCTACGAACATAATTAGACTTGTTGCCAATTTTGTATCTCAACAGAAACACCACTTTTACCACTTTTTACCACCTTTGTACCACCTTTCTGGTTTGCCAAATATCGTTAGTTGTGAACGTCGTAGAAGGCTGCAAATTAACCTAGAATGTTTATCTTATCAAGGAGTAAAACTTTTGTATGAAAAATTTTGACATTTGATAATCAGCTAATTGGATAATTACTAATTAGTTATTCACCAAAAAAAGTGAAAATTTTTTATTGGCTCAAAATGATTAAAATCGTTTGAAACACGGAGAAATGTAGTTTTTAGAAAAACTTCAAAAATTGTTCACTTAAAAATTTTTTTCGAGACTTGGAAAAATTTAAAAATATTTTTTTCCGCCAAAAGTGATCGAATTGCATGAAACGTGGATAAAAATGCTTTGCAGAAAAACTTCGAAGATTTTTAGATTGGGGAATACTAAAATCATCAATATTTGAAGTTGGAGTTCAGTAAATCTCGACATATTTGATATTTTAGTAATTAGGAATAGCTTAGCGGAAAGGGCTGAACCTGAAAAAGGTTAACCACACAATATGAGAGTTTCATAACTAATTACAATACAGCTTTATCAAATTCCACATAAAGAAACAGCACAAAAGGACCATTTAAGATCGAACCGATTTTACCTGCTGTACTATCATTTTATTGATTTCAATGATCAAAACCTCTGTACCGTCAATCTTGCCAATCTATACCGGGTATCTGAATGTACCGGACCTCTTATTTACCTCTATAATTAGACCCAGTTATGCAAGAAATGCGATTTCTCACAGGGATTTCTTTTAACTGTGCACTTTTTGTCACTCTCGCAAGAGGCCCGGTATTATAGGGGGGTATAGGAAGAGAGTGTAAATATACCTTTCATCATCCACTGTGGCTTTTTTGTATTGTGAATGCGCATGCCGCTTCGTTTGCTATGCCAGATACCTCAAATACCCCCATATCTCATTGCCAGGGTCGGGATAGAGCTGGAGATAGCATCGAGAGGTTGCTAGAAATAGCTAGATTTAGAGTAAACTGGTGGTAGCTGGGTGGTGCTAGCATGGATGTAGCAGAACGTAGCTACACGGGGTTTCATTAGAGTTGGTTATTTTAATGGCCAAAGAGTGCCGGAACTAAAGTTACTTAAGATTGCAGTTGAGGGGCAGTGTAAACCACGGTGTAGTCAGGGACACAGAGCTACAGTGCAGACGCCGACGAAGCTAGACTTAGAGTGAACTGATGGAAGCTGGGTGGTGCTAAAATGGAGGTAGCAGAACGTACCACATGATGAAAACAGGAAAACTAAGGCTGGTTGAGACCTAAAAGATGTGAATCTGTCCTGATAGATCCAGTGAAGAGCGAGTTTCGAAGAGTTTGATCACTAACCTAAAGCTCTAAAGAAGAAGAGGGCTAAAGAGACTCACTTTGATCAATAAATCCGGTACGGCAAGGTCTGTAGCCTTGATAAGAAGATACCATGAAGTAATTCATGCGGTAAAGTCGATTTATATAAAGGGTTTCGTTGGATCTAAAAAGGGTGGGTCAGTCTCTCTGTTTTCATCAGATTCTGATGAAAGGCTGTTAAGCTCAGGACGGTGATCTTAATAGGTCGGATAGCTGTACCTGGTTGCTTTCAACCCACCCTTGTCGCTTGAAAATAAGTTCTCACTCCACCTCTTCCAAAATGCAGTTACCAGAGAAGGACACTCTTCTTCCTCCTCTTCTTTCAACCCAAACACAATCAGGTTCCAGCTCCTCTCCTCCTCTGCAGTCACAATCTTATCTCCTTCTTCGGCGTTTTACTGTTGCAGACTGTATCACCTACACTGTTCTTTTGCAGTACTCCTGCACTGTAGCTCTGTGTCCCTGACTACACCGTGGTTTACACTGCCCCTCAACTGCAATCTTAAGTAACTTTAGTTCCGGCACTCTTTGGCCATTAAAATAACCAACTCCAATGAAACCCCGTGTAGCTACGTTCTGCTACATCCATGCTAGCACCACCCAGCTACCACCAGTTTACTCTAAATCTAGCTATTTCTAGCAACCTCTCGATGCTATCTCCAGCTCTATCCCGACCCTGGCAATGAGATATGGGGGTATTTGAGGTATCTGGCATAGCAAACGAAGCGGCATGCGCATTCACAATACAAAAAAGCCACAGTGGATGATGAAAGGTATATTTACACTCTCTTCCTATACCCCCCTATAATACCGGGCCTCTTGCGAGAGTGACAAAAAGTGCACAGTTAAAAGAAATCCCTGTGAGAAATCGCATTTCTTGCATAACTGGGTCTAATTATAGAGGTAAATAAGAGGTCCGGTACATTCAGATACCCGGTATAGATTGGCAAGATTGACGGTACAGAGGTTTTGATCATTGAAATCAATAAAATGATAGTACAGCAGGTAAAATCGGTTCGATCTTAAATGGTCCTTTTGTGCTGTTTCTTTATGTGGAATTTGATAAAGCTGTATTGTAATTAGTTATGAAACTCTAATATTGTGTGGTTAACCTTTTTCAGGTTCAGCCCTTTCCGCTAAGCTATTCCTAATTACTAAAATATCAAATATGTCGAGATTTACTGAACTCCAACTTCAAATATTGATGATTTTAGTATTCCCCAATCTAAAAATCTTCGAAGTTTTTCTGCAAAGCATTTTTATCCACGTTTCATGCAATTCGATCACTTTTGGCGGAAAAAAATATTTTAAAATTTTCAGTCTCGAAAAAAATTTTTAAGTGAACAATTTTTGAAGTTTTTCTAAAAACTACATTTCTCCGTGTTTCAAACGATTTTAATCATTTTGAGCCAATAAAAAATTTTCACTTTTTTTGGTGAATAACTAATTAGTAATTATCCAATTAGCTGATTATCAAATGTCAAAATTTTTCATACAAAAGTTTTACTCCTTGATAAGATAAACATTCTAGGTTAATTTGCAGCCTTCTACGACGTTCACAACTAAAGATATTTGGCAAACCAGAAAGGTGGTACAAAGGTGGTAAAAAGTGGTAAAAGTGGTGTTTCTGTTGAGATACAAAATTGGCAACAAGTCTAATTATGTTCGTAGGGGTCCTAACTACCATATTCCGTTGAGAAATCCTTGTGAACATTCAAATCCAACGGAATGCCACTTTTCCCCTTACTATAATGTGAGCCGAACCATTATAATATTTATAATGCTTGCAATATATGTTAATCATGATCTCATTTTATCATCAATGTTTCGAAATTTAACCAACTTACGATTTCGTATCATTTTTGTGACAATGTTGACATCAACTGCCCTTAATTTGAAACAACTGTATCGTTCTTATATAACGTTTTCTGGTATTTCAGACCAAAATAAGATATAAATGATTTCGGCTATTCACCCAAAAATCCTTTCCTTTAAAGCTTTAACCAATCAATAATACTATTATTGATTGGTTTGTAAGCCGTGATTAATTGAGATGAATTTAGGGTAATATTGTGTAATATGTAGGTAGTGTAGTGATTATAATAAGGCAGTCGTGGTGTCCAGTATGTGACGGTAGCATTTTGGGCATATATTAGTATACGACAGTTATTGCAGTTTAAGTGCAGAGAGGTCAGTTTAACATATGTTTGGTCAGTACGAGGTTGAGTTATGGAGTGTTTACAGAATACTAGTGTTACAATGTTGTGGCTATCGACAGGACAGTTTGCGATTCCTGGGAAATGGAGGATTGTTTAGACTATCAGGGGCGGGAGGAAAATAGGGTTAGCCTTTTGGGATAGAGGAGTGCCAGTTTACCCGATCGAGAGGGGGGTCATTTTGATACCGGGCAGGTTCTGTAGCTAGAACCTGTTAAGGTTAGGTCGTTCAGTTAGGTAGATGGTTATGGTGGTCAGTATAATATTGGCGGTCGTAGAATAGTGGAGCATTACGTAGTTACTATTATCAGGCTTGGTTGTGGCCGGGTCAACAATGGTTGGTCCGACACCAAGGGATGTCTTAACAACACTGGGCTCTGGCAGAGCGAGAGTCAGCAATGGTTGACTTAGATAGATAAAGCTAGACTAAGAGTAAGAGTCCGGGAGGAATAGTCAGCACTGGTTGACTTAGACAGATAAAGCTAGATTAAGAGTAAGAGCCCGGGAGGAATAGTCAGCACTGGTTGACTTAGATAGATAAAGCTAGACTAAGAGTAAGAGCCCGGGAGGAATAGTCAGCACTGGTTGACTTAGATAGATAAAGCTAGACTAAGAGTAAGAGCCCGGAGGAATAGTCAGCAATGGTTGACTTAGACAGATAAAGCTAGATTAAGAATAAGAGCCCGGGAGGAATAGTCAGCAATGGTTGACTCAGATAGGTAAAGCTAGATTAAGGGTAAGAGTCCGGGTGGAATAGTCAGCACTGGTTGACTTATACAGCTAAAGCTAGATTAGAGTAAGAGGAAGAATCAACAATGGTTGTTTCAGGGCACCTAGATTAGAGTAAGAGGAAGAACCAACAGTGGTTGATTCTAGGCATCTAGATTAGGGTAAGGGGAATCAACAGTGGTTGGTCCAGGGCATCTAGATTAGGTTAAGGATAGGGTAAAGCACGGTCAAGGCGAGTTGACCGTGCTATCTGTATTTTATATTCGAGTATTAGATCTTTGGGTGCTTTTGGGCGATATGAGTCTGGTTAATTAGGATTTGAAGTAGAAGTCTGTCTGATTATTCATTGTGTTGTTTTATAGTTTAATATTGTGTACCCTTTGTTATCACGCTCGTTTCCATTGTCCAAACCCTTAATTAAATGCAAATAAACTTCCAACCGGGAAGCAAGTGTCGACTGCTTACAGGTTGCCTACCACCAACAAGAAATTTTCTTTCTGAGCATTGGAGTATAATGGGTCACGGGGCTAATGTTCAGTACTTCTGAACATGTTAGGTTAATAAATGCAAAAATTAAGCCACTAATGTCGTAAACGTTATTTTTTGTGTGTGTACCAAATACCAATATCCTCAAATGAACATGTCTTTATAGTTATAGGAAACAAATTAAAAATACGTAAGTTAACAAGTATGAGCTGAAAATCGATAATTACAAACAAAATAAATACAGTAGCAAGATTTAAGCAATAAATAAAAATAAATGTTTCATACAATTTCAAACAAATCAAAAAATTCGAGGCACGCAATGAAATGAAATGAAATGAAATGAGGTATTCATATCCCGCTCATGGGTTGGCTCAAGAGAATGCGTATTGAAAAATCAAAGAGCTGAAACCCTTTGATCGGGATCATTTATTTTTGTCATCATTTCATCCTCGGTTCCGGAACTGAGTCTCATCATAACATCCTCCCCAACCGACAAGCTGGTGTTACATCCCCTGTCCACTGTCTTGGCCAACAAAAACTGTCCGTTAGCAGAGCACTGGAGCTGAAGAGTGTTCCGTTCCGGCTTGAATATAATAATGTAAAGTCTTGGGAGGAACAAAGCAAAGTAGGTCATGTAATCTCCCACAATTATGCAAACGACTGAGTATCTGATGTACGAAATGTAGTCCAGCTCTTTGAAGCTCATGAAAAATATGACACTCTCGAAGGTAAGGATGGTTATCGTGAAGATTATGTATCGCGACTCATTGTAGTTTGATGGAACCTGGATATTTGACAGTTAATTCACAGTTTACAGAGTTTATCATTCATTTATATCCTGATCCTAATTATGTCGTCAGTAAGTTCTTTAAAAATGTAAAACTCAACACACATCACTTAATCAATTAAGAATCCCATAAATATATTTTCTGAGCTACGCTTCAATCTTGACTTCACAAGTCATTGTCCGATGATCAACTTGAGGTTTTCAATCAATCAATTATAATATTTAATGAACGATTTCCCAATTTATTGTTTAATCACAAGCCAAACTCAATTAATCACTCTTACGTCGTCCATTTCTAGATTCCCGAGAGAAAACAATACGAGCTAAATAGTTTAAGAAACTAAAGATCATTGATCCAGTTAATGCTAGCTTAATAGCTGACACGATAAGTAAGGTATAACTGTATTTGATACTCTAAATATACACCAGTTAAGCAGGTGCTACTACAGCACAGTTGCTCCTTAGACTTGTTTATCAACGTAAGGACTAACAACCTATTGTGTGGACATTATTTTTCTAGCTTGTGTGGTTGAAAATAAGATAAGTAAGCCGGTGATGCTGTGTATTGTGGTTTCAGCACACCATTCCAACACTTACCTTTCTTATTCTGAGAGCAAATATTCCACATAATATTGTTAACATCCCAGGAAAAATGAAGGTCAGCATGATGTCCTCCTCTGGCATCTTGCATTCCAGTGTTATTGACTGAAAATGTAATCACCCTCACAGTCTAGAAATATCAAAATATGAACATTGATTTTGGGCAAGCGAAATAGTAATTTTGTTAATGTTAAGAGTTGTCACTTTAACCCCGATGCAGTTTAACATAATATATGCAAATCCTAATAATTCCGTTTCTCACCTCGTAGTCCTTCGTATCGTTCCTTGGTTTGGAAGGCATGGACACGATTATAATGGACTCTATAAACAGCTCAATAACGATAAGGAAAGCAATTGTCAGAAGCACGAGTCTCTTACTCAGTAATCTCTGGCGAACTCCTGGGTGCCTGAAATTGATTTTTCAAACATTCGTGTTTACTTTTTAACCATATAACTTTATCAGCATAAAATCCACTGAACATTAAAAGGATTAATGATTAGTCTGGAACACACGGGAAACGAGACGGCGAAATTATTAAGCTAACTATACTATAATTATTTTAATTTAGCTTACCTGAATATCCTGTCAATGGAAAAGGTTCTTACAAGGCAAGCTGCTATGATGCCTACCGTAGGACCAGCCACGACTACTCGCTGCACCATACAGATAAACTTACTCGGTTCTGGGGATGTTCAATGTTGTTATTATTATCAATCATCTTAATCAAAATTGAGGTCATGAACCATAATTTTATTTGAACTATCAACCTTCTGTTTAAGAGTAAATGTTTATATGTATTACTAAACAGGTAGTTTGAATGTTGAAGAGACAAACATTTTTGATTTGTAATCGTTATGTTGGTGGTGACTGAAACTTAATTCTGAAAGTCACATGTGTTTGGTACCTGAAGGGTGAACATACCGGCAAAAAGAACTAGTGGGCTGGTGAAGATAAGACAGGTGCAGATAGCTACCAGTAACATATAAGATCTTCCAGAGGCTCGGGCTATTGGAGAGTAATTGTACACAAACATATACCAATACGTCATGGACACACCTTGAGGAGGATTAAGATGAGAAATTATCATTTGAAAATGCAACAGTTTTACTTTATTCGTTTTATGTATTTTATCAATAAATGCTACTAGCAGCAACAAAACAACAACAAAACAACAAAAACTTACATATGATTCCAAGAAAAGAAAACACGAGGACTGTTGATTCCAGTGGATCAGAGAAGGATATACGGCTGATAGCAATATCCTCGCAACCCGTACTGGTGATAGATTTGAAAGATTTAAAAAAACTGATCAACGTTAAGCCTTAGTTGGTAAGTCAGCACTCTCGTTAAAAAGTTCTAAATATGAATTAAGTTATAAACAAATATGAATTAAATTATAAACATGCGAGGAGGAAAAAACTGTAATATGGTAAGAAACTTCACTCATGTACCCGTTGATAGCACGTTGTGATGTCGAGCAGTTGTGACAATTCTCAAAATCGTTTGGTTTGGTATACTGGAACAGCTCAAACTCACACTTGACACAATCGTAACAACACTGATCTCGGACGGTGTCTACGACCTGTGAAATGGTTATCCATTGGAGTATTGGTTGGAAGGCTTTCGTTTTAATACTGTGAGTGTGAAAAATAACAACAAGGGGATCATGTTTGATGAGCACTGATCTTTGAAGCAAAGAAGTGGTAAAACAAGTCATACCCAGCCTGGCTTGCATTTCTCGCACTCGGACGATGTTTCAGTCATGTCCCAAGAACGGAGTAACTCCTTCAACTGTGTCTGAAACAAAAATATTATCTTCAAGTTTATTTATTGAATTGAATTTGAGTTATCTAAAGGTTCCGAACGCGTTTATAATGAGAAAGATGCAAGATATTAATCATGATTTGCACTTGATCCGACTTCCATAATATTTTAATGGTTCACGATGAAAGGAAAATGCTTTTCAGACCCTTCTATTCACATTGATTAGAAAGGTCCTTACCTGATTAATATTAGTCGCTGCTGAATCTCCAGTTTGCCATGACCCGATAACCCAGGGCTCTGGTGCTTCCGCGCTGAAAACGAAGTACTCCAGCTGTATGTTTGTAATGAATGGTATTATACAGGAATTGATTAAACTTTAAACATGAAATGACCAAGGATAACACTAACGAACTCGTCTTGGTATACAGGTTATTCTACCATTACAAATTCAAATTATCAAAAAAAAGCAATATCAAACATGAAGGTATTTTCACATAAATAATCTGACGACAAAAAAAGTAAAAATCATCATACAATCACGGCTTTTAAAAATGATCAGTTAAAAGAATGTACAGTAATCTAGTTTCCCAGTCTACATGATGTTACAGAGACACTCCGTTGTCATGCTCGCACTAAAACAAGCTGGTGCTGCACTGCTGCTAAAATGCCACTATTATAGCGGTTACCCATGCTTTGTGGGGAAATATGAGTGCTCTCATAAAGTGTTTATATCCAGGCGAAGCTTGCTTTCTCAGCGTGTTTGTACTGTGATCGCTCCGATCAACAATATCTTGCAGCCCCTTACCTCTTCACAACCCTTTGATTGACATCATAGGAGTTGCTTTTATGACTCCATGAGCGCTGTTTCTGATTAGGGCTTATTCTAAAATATATAGAACATTTGCAGACAGGTCAAGTGGTTATTTACTCTGCATTTTATGGAACCGATATCATTTGGTTATAACACTTCGCGTTTCAAAAGGCTAATCGTGAATAAACATATGAACAGTGACGAATAATCTGATAAGCAAGGAAATGTTATGTTTGTAATAAACAACGTCTCTCCAGTAAGTGGAAGAGTTTGTTTCTCTTACCTGTACGCAGAGTAGGAGTAAGCACCGTAACTTTGGTCACCGTAAGTAAGTCTTTCTATCATGCTGTGGCTGTTGCCTTTGATTTCGAACACCTTCGATACGTTGTAGCTGATGAGTGAGTGGTTTTGTTTAATAAACCTCCTACGTGGGTCGCCTCATTTTGGAAACAAATGTAGTTGATATAGTGTAACATGGTTTTCAGTTTCAGTAAAGATTGAGTTATTCGTAAAAAGTAAGCTGCATGGCATACAAATTATTCATCACTTACTGTAGATCCTGGAGTTTTGTGCTCAGGGATAGTGAGGATTCGTTGTTCAGGGCTTCTGCAAAGGCGAAAACTGCTTCAACGACCGGAGTAATGTAGCTTATCTATAAAATATTAGTTGTTAAAACCTACAATTAGTTAACTCAATTATTAGTAATGTAGCTTATCTATAAGATATTAGTTGTTAAAACCTACAATTAGTTAACTCAATTCATTGAAAAGTGGGCTTTTGGTGGTGAAGAAGCGATTTAATGTTTAATCCAGTCAATTACATATTGCTAAACGGTTTTAACAATACTTTAAGCAAACCTTGTCTTCAGTAGAGGGATCCATTGTTAGCAATTTTTTCATTTCAGCATTATCCTGGAATCTTTTGAATATCTTTACTGTTTGGTCGTTTTCATGGTAAGAAGAGCTGTTACTGATCAATTTATCCATCGTTTTGTCGTAAAATTCGCTGAAATTTGCCAGAATGCTTGCGTTAAAGGTTGTTCCGATGACTTTCTCTGAAAACATTGGGCATTAACCGATAGTTATATTTAAAGTATCGAATCCTACTATATTACTGATTTTCATTTCATGAATTATACCATCAATTAGGTGTGCTGCATACATTTCTTTCACTATAAGTATCTGGACCCAATTTAACAAAAGAAGAAGCCAAAATTACTAACTCAATCCCGGGTCAGTGTCGAACTGAGCCCAACCGTCGCTAGCTATCCAAATGTAATCGTCAGCACTGCGCTCTCCCGTTTTATTCAGCGCTGCTTTCACCTAAAATAAGCAACATTTATACAGTGACATATTGCTTAACAAAGTAAGAACCTGGGGTAACATATTTTGATATTTGGCCGCACATATAAAAAGACTCAAAATAATTAAGTCTGATAGTTCCTACCTTCTCCAAGTCTCCTTTATAGCCAAAGACGGCGATTGCTCCAATAGTGTCCTCTTGAATGATTTTGTTGATTTCATACTTGTAAGTGTAATCTTCGTCTAAACTTATCATATAACCTCCATCCAGCAAGCAAACTTTGTCTGGACCTAAATCTAGTTGGTGAGGATTGTGAATAATTTTAATGACAATATCTTACTATTTATAAAGCGAGACGATATGTATTTTTAGTGCAAATTTTTGCCTTTACAACATTTAAATATATGCGCTGTTTGCCTTAAGAACGATGCAAAAAAAATTGACCGTATGATGGAAAAATAATTCGAAAGGATATTAAAAAACAATTGTTACCCTTTTGGTCCTTGTCGAGCATTTCTTTTAAGCCAACACCATACGAGCTTGAGTCATAAAACAGGGCAATGTAGGTCAAGTTGAGCTCCGCTAGAAGGTTTTTCAGAGCTATGGCCTGGAGATCATCGATTGGGATTGTCCTGAAGTATATCTATTATTTGCTGCCAATAAAGAAAGTATGTACTTCTGTTATCTGAATGAATGAATTAGATTCATCAGCAAAAAAATACCCTATAATTCATAACACTCTGCTATCAGCTATTATAAAGTGTTCGGTCATATTACCGTTGCAAATTCACGATATTTAGTAGATAAAGACCTCGGTCACTAAAAACGTGAAAACTTTTAAACTAAGAAAGTGAAACCCCACCTGAACAAGAAAGGAAAGTAGTAGGTGTCACTGATGGAGGTAGCACTGCTCTGATAAGATATCATGGGGATCTCATACATGGTTGAAGCGTGAGCTGCTATCTTGCTGTTGGAGCTGTAGGAGGCACCCACTATTCCCGATACATTGAATTGGTCCGATTGTATGATCTGGATAGTGATAGGGGTACGGTAATTAAAGTTTGTGTCGCTGTCGTGTAGGTCTAATAATGGTAAACTTCATGTGACATAAGCTTAAGAATATATTATGCATGTATATCATTTTCAAGGGAAATTCGTCAATGAATTACCCCAAATCTAAAGTGAACAATTAAAAAAAATTATAATACTTATAACAATTATAATTTCATACGGAAGTGAAGTCGTTCAACCAGAAGGCTGTTTCGTAAGTACCGCAAGTGTCTAATTTGATACTCTCTAATTCAAAATTGTAGTCTTGCCGTTCATTTATTTTCTCAATTGCGAAGTCCATAGCCAGCATCATATACCATCCGTCACTGCGGAAGAGTTTACAGATTGTTTTTTGATGTTGACGACTAACAAAAGTAGAATAATGTCAATTGTAAATTCCAAAGGAAAAGAATATGGATACATAGTAGTAAAAACACAAAGTAATAAAATTAACATATTATTATGTATCGTACTTTTCAAACTGCTCGCAAACACCATCATTGGAAGCAGGAGACTTTGGTCCAGGAGCTAGGTCTGGGGACACGTGCTTTGACACGGGAAATAATCCAGCTAGCGTGTGCAATGGCTTATTTCTGATGTTCCTTATGAACCTTCTGGGGAGGAAAAAATAGATGATTTATTTATCATTGAATCGTTTGAAAAAACACGAATAGTTAAAACAATTATGATGCCTAATTTGTTTGAAAATCATCATCCATGAGAACCCTACAATAATTATATAATATACATTGTGGTCGGATATCAAGATGTTCTATGAGATAAGAACAACACATCATATAACCAAGATAAAACATTTATTTGAACACTAAAACGAGGTGTTTAAAGTAAGAAAATTATGGTGCTTACTTGTTGGTTGCTTGTCCGCGATCTAATAAAAATATAAGAACGATCCAAGTATTGATCATGCTGAGAGGAAGTTTAGTTTCAGTTATATTTTAAAATTTAAATCTGAATTTACACAAAACATTAAGAATCTCTTAAGATATCATAATGTTTTAATGGGACCAAAAGGTAATATCCACAGAAAAAAAAATTTAAAGGTACTAGCCGTTCAACAGCAACAACTACAAACTCTGGTGAGAAATTTATTACATTAAACACTACCTACCTACTCATGTAACCGTTGCAATTACACTCAACGTTTATTAGCAAGGGACAATGCGGACAGTTATTACGCCTATAGCAGGCCAATCCTTCATCCAGGGGAATAATGGGTGGGTGGTGCTACTATCCTCCACTGTTGTTTCTACAAGGTATTTTATGTGCTACACAACGACAGAAATACAGTGAAACCTCTATATACCGGACCTCCTGGCAACAACAGAAAAGAAATGATTGGATCGAAGTCTCGTATGAAGCTTGAAGTGAACAAAAGTAGAAGCTGTTCTTCTGAGTTTCTGTAGAAGAATTGAAATGTTATTCATATCCGCACGACAACGAAAACATTTGGAAAATCTACAATTAATAAGACCCCCATGTGGACATATATCAACAACCATTACTAGTGCTACATTCCCACATTGTTCATGTCCTAGTCATCCAATTAAAAGTGCAATCACTGATCAGTAATTATGGACCTATTTACCGGCTGAATGCAATTTCGTAGAACTTACTAAATATTTACAACCGCGTGAAAGACAGTGTTGTAAAAATGGTTGCTAGCTGCCAACATATCTAATTTGACCTGCAACTGCTGAGTTCGTACAGCAAAGTTACTCACGGGTATTTATAAGATTGTATGCTATACCACGTGACCAGTAATGTACCGTACATTATACACGTGATCATTTCATAATTTAGATTCTTAAACCCAGAAAAGATGGTGATCTTAGTTCTTACTACACTAGTGATGACCAGGTTGAATACATGAACACCAACTACTAAAACAGTAATACCAGTGTTGAATCATGACAAACATTACATTAACTACAACATAACAACAGCAGAAGTAGTTATAGAGACACAGACTTATCATATATCTCGCTACCACTTGCGTATAATATATATATCAGAAGAGCTAAATACTGTTGATATAATCCTATAATCCTATAATCGGGCTGCAGTCTCCAATGGTTATTATAAGCCCAGATCCCCTCCTGCTATAATGAAGTTATCTAGTTACCAGTAAGTAAATACAGCAGGACGTTATACCATGATATGCACGTCAGACAGAGCGAGCTGTCAACCTAATTGTGGCGGATAATCGATACAAATTATCAAATGGTAAGCATTACCGACGATTTTCCACTTCGGTGGAGGTGTCAAGTGGCATGTGACGGTATGTACTGGATGAGATATGCTTTATATATAACGTCTCGCTTTATAACTATATATATAGAAAGATGTGCGATATCAATGATATCATCGAGGATGGGGTGCATTAACGGACCTCTATCATGGTGCTAACTAAGATGCAATACTAGGTGCCCTTCTTTACAACCTTAAACAGCAATGATACTTATCAACTTTCCAACAGTAAAGTAAGGGCGTTTCTTTACCAAACAATACACAACTTAATGTACACGAGCCAGCAGCCAGCTAGCTGGTATCCTAGCCACATAATAACAACAACAGCAGCCCTTTTAGGACGAGGGATCTGTGAGGCTAGACATTGGTAATAAGATATTACAGAGCACCTCGCTATATGGGGACATGCTTGTTGGGGGTATTCCCCATGTGTTAATAGTGTCCTTCAGTGTACCCAGCTGTGGGTGGTAGTGTTATGGCACTACCCCCCTGTTAAGAGGCAGGTGTCTTCATATCCAGTGCTATCTTCACAGTTGGGAGGTTCACGTGCAGTGCTTTAAAGAGATTTTGGTGGTGTCTTTATAGGAACGAGTAAGTAGACGGTTAAGTATAATTTGTATGT